CCAAATCACTGTATTTACAGATATTGTTCTGACATGATGTACTTGAAGCTGATGGTGATGAGATTACATAAGCACCACTGAGGTAAAATACAGATCCAAACGAAGAATATCTTACTATTCACTGAATATAAAGAAGACGAGAGATAATGTAGAATCAATATTTAATCTGGACCAACAGCGCACAGATTCTTAATTCTCTCAGAAAACATTAATGTTTTCTAAATACAATTAATATTAAAAAATACTCATATGTTGATGTTCAAACATGGAATAAACTTGGGCCCTTTGTGCACAAGGCTGAAAAGAAATTTTATACTTTAAGGTAGTACAACTTTGTGAAATAATCTTTCCAGTTCCATGCATATATGATACATGTTTTACTCGTGTTCTAAAACAAATATATTTTCAGAATCACACACGAGTAGCTTGGCAGAGCTCTCCTATACTATAGGAACACAGGACAAGCTGGTCTGCGTAAATTTTATTTTGTACTTGTTTAAAGTGAATTATATATATTATAGGTGAAGATAACCAACTTTAATCGTGCACGATATAAAGCATTTTATTATACGCCACCACCATGTGTGGCCAAGTTGGATTCCCTTGTGCGTTAGGTAACATTGTATTTGTCGCTCGTGCATTGAATAGTTTATGAATCATTCTGCAGCTACTAAATTATTTTATTTGCAGATACTGCTCTGATTCTTTTCCCTTAGAATAATTATAGGTTGAGTTGGCAAGGTGGTGGCGGGAAGACATTGGTTGAACATTGCACAGGAAGCATGAAGATCTAGATCTCAAATATATTGCCATCTATTGAATATAAAAGAAGATACGACTCTGTATGTCTCTTCCTCTCATTATATCCATATATATATATATTGAGAAGATGCCAAGGAGAAAAGGTAACAAGACATACTCTACATTGAAACTGCAAAGCCTTTTGACCTCTAAGGAAAAATGGCTGCCTCTCTTTTAAGAACCCAGTCAATATACCATGCTAGATCCAACAGCTTGCCCTCTAGGCCACACTCACTCAGTTTAGAAGTCGGTGAGTACTTGAGCAGACTAAGATCCTCTGAGGCCACCTCTATATCTTCATCATCTATAAGCCGACAAATAAGTGGCCTCCAAGATTTGAATGACTGTGTTGATAAGTTGCTTCAATTGCCTCTGACTCAGCAAGCTTTCAGCCAGGAGCACCACAAGGTGCTGGTTGATCAAGTGTTGGATGAATCTCTTAGGCTCTTGGATCTGTGCAGCAGTGCCAAGGATGCCTTGTGGCAAACAAAGGAAACCATACATGAGTTTCAATCAGCCACCCTAAGAAAAAGGAGTGGTGAAATTGGAATTGTGGATGAGGTCAGGAAATTCTTAGCCTCTAGGAAGACTGTGAAGAAGATGATCCACAAAGCATTGAAGAGCTTGAAGGGTTTAGAAAATAAATACATGCTTGAAAAAGATGATGAAAATTTTGAATTGTTGAAAGAGGTAGCAGAAGTCAATATCACTGTATTTGAATCATTGTTCTCCTGTATGTGGATCAAAGGCACAAGCGAAGCTCACCAGCAACTGGTCATTAATTTCCAAGCTGATGAGCAACGGGAGAATAACGTGCGAGGAAGAAGATGAAAACGAATTTGGTCTGGTGGATTCAGCATTGGGGTCCTTCATTGGATGCAAATCAGGTGACGTCATAAAAACTGAGAACCCGCAAGGCAAGCTGCAAAACTTGGAGCTGTGTGTCGAAGATCTTGAAGGAGTTGAGTGCCTCTTTAGGTGCTTTAGTCAAAGCCAGAGTTTCAATCCTCAACATCTTCAACAACGAGAATTGAACATATGTAACTGATATTTGTACATAAACAAACTATACATGTTAACAGTCATTTAGATATAGAAATACTTGGCCTTGCCAAGCTATGACTCAATATTACAGTTTCCCTTAATCTTTTTAAAGTTTTTTTTTGAAGCTTTAATAACTGATGCTACTTTCCTCAAAATATCTAATAGAAACATGAAAAATCTGAAAAAAAGTTAAAATTTTTTGAATGATATGACGAATATTTTAGGTATTATCGACTGAAATATAAAAATTTTAGTTATTAGATATAAGAGAATATTGTTGTTTGCTAATTCACATATATGGGGGAAGAGACTAGTGCCCATCAATTAAATACAAATAATGTCATATGATATCTTGATCCTTTATATAGAAAAATACGTGATTTTCAAGTTCATGTATAAGTTCAAGTTATATTATATCAATAACTTAAGTTTAAAATTGAGGTTGAATTTTTTAGTACTGATGGTTTGAATATAAAAAATTTTTAGATCGCTTATATTTGACCTAAATTATTATAAACGATATTAGATATGTGACAATTATGTAATTTAAAGTTAGTACATCTTAAACTTTATGAGTCATTTAGAATATCAATGACTTAAATTGTAATATTTAGTTCAAGAAAATAAATAATTATTATTTAATCATAGAATTGTACTTACATTTTATAAAATTTATAAGTTAATTCATAATTTAGTATAAATTATTAGGTCTTTTTGTAATTATTAAAGAAACTATCCTATATATAACTTAATTGTTAGAGTTTAATTACAAGATTCTGAAATCCTAAAAAGGGAAGAGAAAAAAGAAAGGAGAGGAAGAAGAAAAGGTCTGCAACAAGGGGCTAAGTCTAATAAACCCACCCTAAATTAGTGCGCAGTAATGTTTTGGCTGCATTTTCAAATTTTCTTTTTATCTGCAATTTGTATCTTATAAATTTTCTATGAACACTAAAATTACATGATTTAGATTACATTAAGCAAACATGAATTTTCAAAAGTTAAGTGCTACAATAGAATGCGAACCGTGTGATAATATATTCCTGTCATATTTTTGAATTTTTTTTGGCAAATATAAATTTTTAAACGTTAAAATACTACAATAGAATACGAATCGTGTGATAATGTATTTCAGTCATATTATTTATAATCTATGCATCATAAATTTTTCATAAATATCAAAAGATAAAAAATTAAATGAGTGATGAATTTTGAAGATTTTAAGATGTTAGGAAAATATGAACCCCATGGAAGTGGTTTTCCAGTGGAATTTTCACTTTTTCTGACCAATGCTCGGCCAAAAAGTTATGGCGACCAACAAACATTTTTTATAGAAACTAAGATTATATGATTTGAATGAGAATTGAGTTAGTTAGTTATGAATATTTAGGCAGCAAAATTACGAATCTTCATCTTTATAATCTTTTTTAATTGATTATTTATCTAAATTAGAGTTTAATGTCTATTTTATGAATATTTAAGAATCTTTCCTAATTTGGTCTCTATTGAGAGAATTGAAATTTTAAAGCTAATTATGTCTTATGCAAATTTGAAACTCTAAACCTTAATTTGCAAATAACGATTTTATGATGCTAAAGTCGATACTCTCGTGGTTAAAAAATTATGGAGTGCATATTGGAGTTTATTAGATTGTACATAAAAAATTATAAATTTTATAAACAATAAGTTTGTATTAAATTTTAAACAATATGATAATTTTAAATTACAATTCAATAAGTTGCTTGCCCATTAGATCTGAAAGATCATATGTTGGACTTATTATCAACAGGCATACACATTATTAGATTTTTTTGAATATTTATTTGATTCTTTATTTCACTGAGAATTCTAGATTTAACATTATAGTTGAGTAGTATTAAGTCGATTTTAGTGTTTTATAAATATTTAAAGATTATTATAAATTTTATTAATTACCTAATTTTTTATTAGCTTTAAAACTATTTATTAATTATATAAGTTTTTCGAAAGTGCATATTATATTCTTTTGATTATAAACTTTAGATTTAAGCTTATTTTTTCTATGAAGTGTGAAAATTTGAGATATTTAATGAAGTTATTTGGTTTTAGTAAAGAGTATTATAACTTTGTTTTGGAACTCTCTTTTTGGTTATAATTTGACATTTCTAGTGGAAGTAATCATTAGAATTTTTCAGAAATATGCTACTTTTGAACTTACACTATAAAGATTAAATATAGAACTAACACCATAGGGATTAAATATAGTTTTAGATTTTGATATTAGGATGTAGAAATCATCTACACCATAAAAATTAAATATGACTTTGGGTCTTATTACATAGATATAATGTAGTCGTAACTGATAAAAATTGTGAGATTTTAATTTGAATTTTATCAATATTAAATAAATTGATCTTTAATATTGATTGTGGAAAGTTTTAAAATTATTTTGTTATTATGTCTTTTTTACTTTATATATAACTTGTTTAGTTATAACAATTCAATTATGTTTGATCCAACTATCTAGAATTTTGTGATTATTCATTAAGTTGTGAGCTTATCTCATCTTTATTTTCATATTTTAAAGAGTAAATTATACACAAGGACTTGGGAGATATGAATGGCAAAAGATTTTGATGTAGATATTTGAAACAAATCCACTTTAGATTGGTTTTCAATTTAGAGATTATTGTTACTTGATAGGTTTAATTTTTTTTAAGGCTTGAGGAATTCAAATGTGTCACTAATTATTTAATGTTTGATGCGTATGTTTAGCTTAGTTGAGATTTATTTAACTTTTGCATGATTATGAATTTTTATTCATAAAGGTGCATCATTGTGACATGAATAGTGAAGATTATGATATACCGATCTCATATAAAAATAATATGTAAATATTCAGATTCACATAACATCTCACATCATATATGACTAATAACATAAGTTTGAACTTTTGAGAGTCAGTGGTTTGTATCCAAGAAGTTGTTGGACAGCTAGTGCTTAGATCTATGGGTAAACAAAATCTGGTATGGAGAGAACACTATCCAGTTTGGTCCTTGAACCAAGAGATAAGAGATTAGAGATTAAGGAGACAAGTTGGGATTTATAAAAATTTTCTTCTAAAAAAAAATATAAATGAAAGTTAATATAATAACACGTATACATATTATGTGTATTTATATATTTTGTATACATACATGTATTTGATGTATATATATTTGAGTACTTAATATATTTAATCCTAAAATCTTTTGTACAGTTTGATCCATAAATTTCTTCAAACTGGGTTTCAATCCAGTCTTGACCAATCCTACCAGGTCCTGTTCTGAACAGTTGTTCATCCCTACTTAGGTTTAGTTTAACTAATCTTCTCTTATCCAAACCTGACTGTTGAAAGATTCACCTTACACCTTTGTCATCCTCAAACCATTTATTCTATGTAACAGCAAAAATGAGGAAGCATACTTTTTGAGTCTTACCTATTTCTTGGAATGCAATCAATTTCAAGGTCTCAATGTATCACAGACTTGGATTTCCTAGATGTGGTTGCTAGCTCCAGTGATTTATGGATATGTCTAGAATCAGGTATAAATTTTCCAGGTTTTTGTTTGCTCAATATAAATTTTTTAAACCCAAGTCTATGCTCTGAACAGCTTCTTTAAACCTGAGAATTTCAAAATTTTAAAGTAGAACATGCAGCATGAATGAAGAATTGACAGGAAAGAATTTTGAGATTAGAGACACTATGATCGGGCCTTGTACGCACAAGACTCGGAAGAAAATCTTCTAAAATGGATATAAGATGGATGCCTATTCATTTTCATGTAACAAAAAAGTTTAATAATGTATTAGCAAGAATGAATTGTTTATAAGCATGCACGAGTGTGCCTTCGATAGTTTTCTTTTCTGTACCAAAAGGAAACAGGACATAAGGAGAAATAAGGAATCTTATCTTCTCCATATTCAACGGAAGGTAACATATTTAAGATCTGGATCTACATGATTCCTGTGCAATGTTTAAGCAATATCTCCCACACTAACATGCCAACTCCTTATATAAGTATTTTAATGACCTCATATCAGAACATTATCTACAAATAAAGTAATTTAGCATCCTGCAGAATGATTCATAAAATATTCAATGCACAAGTGACAAATACAATGTCAACTAACTTAGAAAGCAATCCAGCTTGGCCACTCGTGGTGGTGGCGTAAAATAAAATGCTTTACATTATGCACACATAAAGATTGTATTTTTAATGCATAGCTGCATCTTCCAAAGCTCTTTTCTTTACTAACAAACCATATAAAATTCACTTAACTATAATTGAAATAAAGTATGCAGTGCACGAATGGTGTGACAATTATAAAGGAAACTCCTAGAATATCGAAGTGCCCTGCCCGGCCACCCATGTGTGATTCAATAAAATTTATTTGCTCTAACATATGAGTAAAACATGTACATTATATACATTGCAATGCCTGAATGCTGAGTTCCATGTTTGGTAGTCTTGGCTTATGCTGCACAATATTAATGCTTATACAAGAATAAGTATTTTAAAGATAAATAACTCAAAGTTGTTTATGTATATTTCAATTTCATATAAGAAAAACTTGTGATTGTTCGGTTTTATATAAAAGTTGAAATTACACAATACTAGTAACATGAGTTTAAATTTTTAAGAACCAATGGCTTAGGTCCGAGGTATTATTCAGCTAGTGGTGCTAAGACCTAAAGTGTTACAAATGGTGTCAAATCACATTCCAACTTGGTGACTCTTGGTCGGTACGATTGTAGAGATCCGAAACTTAAAAAGAAATAAAGTCATGAATTAAATGCGGAAGCGAAACAATGAAATTTATGGTTTACATTTCTTACACAGTAATTTAGAATGTCCAATAGGACTACATGAATGTCATTTCTAAAAAAACAAACAAAAAATAAAGAAATAAATAAAATGGAATATATTGAGCATTTTAGGACGACCTTCACTAACTTTTGAAATGAGTTCGGGTGGTAAACTATTC